CGGAACTTCGAACTTCAAAAATGAACATTACTGGAGCGATACTAATCCGTACGTAACGATGCCTAGAAGTTTCCAAGTCCGTTTCTCAGTTCATCTGTGGGCAGGAATTATTGATGGGAGATTGATTGGGCCGTTCCAATTTCCCCCTCGTCTGAACGTTCTGGTTTGCGCCATTCTTGTCTTCGACTTTGGCTTTTTTTATATTCTTTTCAATTTTCGATTAAAGAAAAAAAATTTTGCGTTTATTTTTCGTTCTGGTTTGCGCCATTCTTGTCTTCGACTTTTGCTTTTTTTAATATTCTTTTAAATTTTAAATAAAAAAAAATGTTTGTGTTTATTTTGCGTTCTGGTTTGCGCCATTCTTATCTTCGACTTTGGTTTTTTTAATATTCTTTTAAATTTTAAATAAAAAAAAATGTTTGTGTTTATTTTGCGTATAATTTGCGTTCTGGTTTGCGCCATTCTTGTCTTCGACTTTGGCTTTTTTAATATTCTTTTAAATTTTAAATAAAAAAAAATGTTTGTGTTTATTTTGCGTTTAATTTGCGTTCTGGTTTGCGCCATTCTTGTCTTCGACTTTGGCTTTTTTAGTATTCTTTTAAATTTTAATTAAAAAAAAATGTTTGTGTTTATTTTGCGTTTAATTTGCGTTCTGGTTTGCGCCATTCTTGTCTTAGACTTTGGCTTTTTTTATATTCTTTTAAATTTTCGATTTAAACAAAAAAAATAAAAATGTTTCTGAAAATTAATATATTTTTTTAAATATTATATTTGAATTGATAAGAGAATTCAGAATTTTTGGTTTCTTTTGTTCGGCTCATAAATTATGAATGCACCACGAATTCTAATATAAAACGCTCACTATTTTTTTTTACTTCTAACAATAATTAATTTTTTAATATTCAAATATTTCAAAAGCTATAATGCAATTTTCTTGATAATCAACAAAATTCTTCCCTGTATAATCAATCATTTTAAGAAATTTTAATAAAATTTTTTTCCAAAATTGAATTATTTTGATAATTCTCAAAATTCGTAACTAAAGAACTCAAGTTTTTTGGAAAGTAATAAAATGCTTTGCAGAAATAAAATTATTTTCAAAATTTTTATAAAATTTTCGTTAAAAATTAAATTATCTTTATAAATAGATAGCAAAATTCTTTTCAAGAATAAAATTATTGCAGGGCTCGGATTGTGCGACTTTTTCGACTTTTTTCGACTTTTCTAAGGAAATGTGACTTTTTTCGACTTTTTTGTGAAAAAATGTGAATAATCGACATTTTCGAGATTTTTTTTGGTAAAATGCGACTAATCGACTTTTTCAAATTTTTCAATTACTTTTCAACTTAAATTGTAAATGGCAGAAATCTTTTTTTGTAAACAATATTGTTCATAAAATCATTCTTCTCCTTAGGGAAAAAAAACATAACATATTATCTCGTTTCTTAATATTTTTGTAGGAAATTCTCAATTTCCATAAGTTGCATCATTTCTATTTCTTAATTACAATTGCTTTAATAAAATTTCAAGTTTTTTAAAAATTAATGAAAAAAAATGTTTATAAATTCTATTTGTCAATTAGAAAGTGAAACTTTTAAAATTTTTAGAAAATTGAAGGAAAAAGTTTTAGTCAAAAAACTGATCTGTTACATTTATTTGCAAATTTCTTTCAAATTTTTCGAAAACATCAATAACTTCTTTTTTAAATAAATATTTAATTATTATTTTTCCATAGGAAATAAAATTCTTCAAAAGATTCAAATTCAAACATTTTTGAAATTAAACAACTTATAAAAAATTGTTTTATTACAATTAAAGATGACCGAGTGATAAAATCATTATTTTATATTATAAAACTTTTAAAAAAAAATTTTTTTGTATTATTTTTATGAAAATAATTGAATTATTGAGAAGAAATTTATAAAACATTAGTAAGTAATTGAATTTTGCAGAATAATTTTGATATTTACAAAGATATTTGAAATTTTGAGGAGAATTTTAAAAAAATTTCGAAAATTATTGAATTTCTGCGAAGAATTTTCTTACTTTTGAAAATAATTGAATTTTGTAAAGAATTTTATCGAGAAAATTTGAATTTGAAAAAAAAATTTGAATATAATTGAATTTCTGCGAAGAATTTTATTACTTATAAAAATAATTGAATTTTAGAGAAGAATTTTATTATTTATAAAGATAATTGAAATTTTGACAAGAATTTATTATTATTTTTACAAATAATTTAATTTCAGAGAAGAATTTTATTATATTTATAAAGATAATTGAAATTTTGACAAGAATTGTATTATTATTTTTACAAATAATTTAATTTCAGAGAAGAATTTCATTATTTATATAAAAATAATTGAAATTTTGAACAGATTTCTTTAAAAATGTTTAATAGTAATTGAATTTTGCAGAAGAATTTTGGTATTTATAAAGATAATTGAAATTTTGAGGAGAATTTAAAATAATACTTTTGAAGATAATTGAATTTCAGAGAAGAATTTTATTATTTATAAAAATATTTTACATTTTAAAGAGAATTTTGAAAAAAATGTTAAAAATACCTCATTAAAATTTTGCTTTGAGTTTTATTAAATTTTATTCCGGATTGTTTGATATTAAAGTATGTGTTGTCGAGAAATGTGATTTTTTTACCATTTTGACAATTTCGTGTCTCGTTTTTGTCGTTTTTTCTAAAATTCCATGCGACTTTTTTTCAACTTTTTTGCAAATTTTATGCGACTTTTCGTGACCTTTGTTGTGAATTTATGCGACTAAATCCCAAGTGCGAAAACCAACGCGGCCCAACACTGGCCCAGTATTGGCAAAGCTGGCATCAATACTTGGCAGACAATATTGGCCCGACTTTGCGCCGACTCTTGTGGTGTTAACCATGGTTGGACGTCGGCAGCCAGATCACGGCAGACATTAATGGCCCAATATTGGCTGCCATTACTCCGCCAAGAGTCAAAAACCAATGCGGTCCAACACTGGCCCAGTATTGGCAAAGCTGGCATCGAGACTTGGCAGACAATATTGGCCCAACATTGCGCCGACTCTTGTGGTGTTAACCGGCGGTTGGACGTCGGCAGCCAGATCTCGGCAGGCATTAATGGCCCAATATTGGCTGCCATTACTCCGCCAGTGTTGACAAAATTAGAAAAAAATAAAAATAAATTTTTTTTTATTCAATTAACTAATTAATTTATAACATTTATACGGCTTATTTCCCCAAATTAAACTCAAACTTACAAATATTTGAAAAATTCTTACCTCTCGCGGGGATCGATACCTGAACCTTACGCACCACAGCCTAACACTCTGACCACTTTGCTACTCTGACTTGAAGTCGAGGAAGTAAAAGGGTTCTTATAAGCTACACTACATTGGCCGATACTGTCCCATTATTAGGCCGAGCTACGTCCCAATATTGTCAATTATAATTTGCCATCATAGATACAAAATGATAGACATTAATGTGCCATTCATGGGCCAAGCTACATCCCAATTCTGGCAATTATATTTTGCCATCAAAGATACAAAATTTTTGCCATTAAAGTGACACTAATCAGCCATTAATGGACCGATCTTCGTCACATCACTGGCAATTGAATTTTGCCATTACAGATTGATCAACTTTACCAATATTGTGCCGTTATTGAGCCAAGCTACGTCCCAATACAGGCAATTATAATTTGCCATGAAAGATACAAAATTTTTGCCATTAAAGTGCCACTAATCAGCCATTAATGGACCGATCTTCGTCACATCACTGGCAATTGAATTTTCCCATTAAAGATTGATCAACTTTGATAATAACGTGCCGTTATTGGGCCAAGCTACGTCCCAATACAGGCAATTATAATTTGCCATGAAAGATACAAATTTTTTGCTATTAAAGTGCCAATAATGAGCCATTAATGAGCCGATCTTCGTCACATCACTGACAATTGTCTTTTACCATTAAAGATTGATCAACTTTGCCGTGAATGTGCCATTATTGGGCCAAGCAACGCCCCAATTCTGGCAATTATATTTTGCCATTAAAGATACAACATTTTTGCCATTAAAGTGCCTTTAATAGGCCAATCTTCGTCACATCATTGGCAACTGAATTTAAAAAAATTTTAATATCAAAATTCATGCTATGTTTTTAATATTTAATTATTATCTAAAAATTTGACTACAATCCATTTTGAAATTAATTTTTACTAGAAAATTCTACGAGAATTTAATTATTTAAATGCAAAAATAAATAATTTATTGAATAAATTGAAAATTTCTTAATTTTTAGATAATAAAGGAAAAATTTTACTCAAAGAAAGGTTTCTGTTTCATTTATTTACAAATTTCTTTAATTGTAAAATTATTTGAAAACATTAATAACTTCTTTTTTAAATTAATACTTAATTAAACTTTTTCAAAAAAATGAATTCTTTAAAATTGACAGTTAAAAATAAATAAAATTCAAAGTTTCGAATATTTTAAGCGACTTTTTTACCATATTCTTTAATATAATAAAATTCAGTAAAATTTTAATTGTATTCTTTAAAATAAATTATTTTCAATAATTGTTAATAAAATTCTCGTAGAATTTTTTAACAAAAATTAATTTAAAAGTGAATTTTTGTTAAAATTTTGAATAATAATTTGATATTAAAAGTATTATTGCGTGAATTTTTAGAAAGAATTGAATTTAAATAATTAAAGTAATTTCGAAGAAGTTGGAATAAATCTTAATTTCTATAGAAAAATAATAATGATTAATTATTTATTTAAAAATGAAGTTATTGTTGTTTTCGAATAATTGTAGAATTAAAGAAGTTGGTAAATCTCGCTATCTATTCATTTTTGGAGTAAATCAGAATACACACATTTATAACCATTTTTTGTAAAATTAAATAAATAAAATAAATATAAATATTATATTAACAAAATTTTTTAGAGATTTTCAATAACCTCAAAAATATATATGTATTATGTATATGTATAAAAAATATCAAACCTAGAAATAAAAAAAAAAGACTACACCTACAACTAACTTCAGGTGTTGACAGCGATCTAGAAATCTGGAATCAGCGTCATTAAAAATTAATTAAAAAATGTCTGCATTAAAACAGTGGGCTTGTGTGAGATATGTGGAAAATGTTTGTGGAAACCACAAGAAGAAGAATATTTCATTTATTGTTCCTCTGGAAGATGTCGAATTGGAGAACGGAGAATTTGACAAAAATAGTATTTATAATGTCAAATGTATAAAAAATAGCAGCCGTTCATGCAAAGCTGTGATTGCATTCATCACAGAAGAAAGTAATTATTAATATTATTATTAAATTATTGTTTTATTTTTAGTTTGGTTTTATTTTCATTAAAGTTATTTTAATTTATAAAGTTAAATTAATTAAATTAAATTAAATTTTTATTATTTTATGAAAATAATTAAATCTTTGCGTACAATTTTATTAAGTTTTTTTAAAAATAATTTTGTCAACAATTTTATTAAATTTTTTGAAAATAATTTAATTTTGCAGAAGAATTTTATTATTTAATAAAGATAATTGAAATTTTTACGAGAATTTTTTTTAAAAAATTTAAATAATTGAATTACAGCGACAAATTTTATTACTTTTGAAAATAATTGAATTTTTGCACTCATTTGTAAATTCTCTAAAATTCAATTTTTTTTAAAGTATTTTCAACTACAATTCTTTTATAAATCCATTCCTTTTAATAAATAATTAAATATATATTTAAAAAATTCAACTAATTTCAGAAAAATTTGAATTATTAAATTTTTTAAAAAATTTAAGTTCTTTAAAATTTTTAATTAAATTCATCCAAAATTGAAAATTTATAAAATTTCAATTCATTTAATATTGAATTATTATCTAGAATTTTAACTGAAATTCATTTTTTAATCAATTTTGGTTGGACAATTCTTCGAGAATTAAATTATTTAAATTGTATTAAAAATAATTGAATTTCTGCGATGAGTTTTATTATTTGTGAAAATAATTGATTTCCTTAAAAGAATTTTAATATTAACGAAAGTAATTGAATCTCTGTTAAAATTTTATTATTTTTAAAAATAATTGAATTCCTGTAAAATTTTTATTATTTTATGAATAAGCCAGAAATTTTATTCCAAACCGGGAATTTTTACACCAAATTAGAAAAAGTTTTATTATTTTAATTTGTGTTTAAAAAATCGTTTTTTATTTCAACTTTTATAGACAAAAACTGTTCTCTAAATTTAAATTAGTTAAAAATAATTAATTTCATAGTAAAAATCAGTCACTGTGTCAAATATTGTATGTAAATAAATAAATATTTAAAAAATTAATCGAATTACGTAATATAGAAATTTCGTGAAATTTAACTGAAAATAATAAAATTTATTAAAGAATTTCATTAAAAACTTTTTAACAAATCGAACTTTCAAAGTATTTTAATTTAACAATTGATTAATAATTAAATTTTATAAGGAGTCTCATTCTAATGTATTCATGTTTCTTAGTGCGAAGATTAATAATTAGAATTTTTATTAGTTAATTTAAAAGAAGATACACACTTAACATTTTTTAAATAAAATTGAATTTTCGCAAACTTTTTTAAAAATTTTTAAAGAATAAGATTTTGTAAATTTTTAAATACTTTTCTTTTAAGATAATTGAATTTTTATAAACAAATAATTAAACATTTTTGATATAATTGAAATTTCTTTACATTTTATTAAAAATAATTTTCTTTTTTTTAAAGAAATTTGTATAAATTTTTTGAAAATAATCGAGGACAGTTAGTCACCGGAATTATAATTTTATTTTTTAAAATTTCTTCGCAATATATTCCATTATTTTCATAAATAGTAAATTTCATAAATCTAATTCCTCGAAAAAAGTAATTAATCTTAAAAATTATCATTTGCAAGAAAATCTAAACACAATTTATAATCAGTCACTATTGATAGAGTAAATGTCGGTAAAATTATTTTCTAATATCTTATTGATGGTCGTTTTTCATTAACAATTTTAGTTTTCAACGCTGTTTTTAAATGGAAATCTGAAAACTAAAAATCTAAATTTGACTATTTATTCAAATAAGTAGCTTTTAGTAGCATTATGTTAAAAAAAGTAGCCAAAAAGTAGCCTCGTATCAAAAAAGTAGCAAATAGTAGCCCTTGCGGATTGTTATGGTGGAAAGGGGGTCGAATTCGACTCTGTTATGTACCCGCTTAATACCCGCTTTAGTAAATAGTTAAGAAAGAAAATTCTATTTTTTTGGAGCAGGAAATTTTAAACTGACTCTCAAATTGTCGGAAGACTCTGCTCCCTTCTCGCAGCTTTTGATTCGTCTTCCCCTATATCCTAGTAGCCTAGAGAAACTGCTTTTAAGTCAATAAACAATTTCCTGTTTAAAAAAATTAACAATTTTCCTGATTTTAAGTTGACAAAATTCAGCAAAATTCAAATTTTTTTTCTCAAATTGTCGGAAGACTCTGCTCCCTTCTTGTAGATTTTGATTCGTCTTCCCCTATATCCTAGTAGCCTAAAGAAACTGTTTTTGAGTCAATAAAAAATTTTCTGTAAAAAAAGTAACAATTTTCCTGATTTTTAGTTGACAAAAATCAGCAAAATTCAAAATTTTTTTTCTCAAATTGTCGGAAGACTCTGCTCCCTTCTTGTAGATTTTGATTCGTCTTCCCCTATATCCTAGTGGCCTAGAGAAACTGCTTTTGAGTCAATAAACAATTTCCTGTTTAAAAAAATTAACAATTTTCCTGATTTTTAGTTGACAAAAATCAGCAAAATTCAAATTTTTTTTCTCAAATTGTCGGAAGACTCTGCTCCCTTCTTGTAGATTTTGATTCGTCTTCCCCTATATCCTAGTGGCCTAGAGAAACTGCTTTTGAGTCAATAAAAAATTTCCTGTTTAAAAAAATTAACAATTTTCCTGATTTTAAGTTGACAAAATTCAGCAAAATTCAAATTTTTTTTCTTAAATTGTCGGAAGACTCTGCTCCCTTCTCGCAGCTTTTGATTCGTCTTCCCCTATATCCTAGTAGCCTAGAGAAACTGTTTTTGAGTCAATAAACAATTTCCTGTTTAAAAAAATTAACAATTTCCCTGATTTTTAGTTGACAAAAATCAGCAAAATTTAAATTTTTTTTTCTCAATTTGTCGGAAGACTCTTCTCCTTTCTCGCAGCTTTTGATTCGTTTTCCCCTATATCCTAGTAGCCTAGAGAAACTGCTTTTGAGTCAATAAACAATTTCCTGTTTAAAAAAATTAACAATTTTCCTGATTTTTAGTTGACAAAAATCAGCAAAATTCAAAATTTTTTTTCTCAAATTGTCGGAAGACTCTGCTCCCTTCTCGCAGCTTTTGATTCGTCTTCCCCTATATCCTAGTGGCCTAGAGAAACTGCTTTTGAGTCAATAAACAATTTCCTGTTTAAAAAAATTAACAATTTTCCTGATTTTAAGTTGACAAAATTCAGCAAAATTCAAATTTTTTTTCTCAAATTGTCGGAAGACTCTGCTCCCTTCTTGTAGATTTTGATTCGTCTTCCCCTATATCCTAGTAGCCTAAAGAAACTGTTTTTGAGTCAATAAAAAATTTTCTGTAAAAAAAGTAACAATTTTCCTGATTTTTAGTTGACAAAAATCAGCAAAATTCAAAATTTTTTTTCTCAAATTGTCGGAAGACTCTGCTCCCTTCTTGTAGATTTTGATTCGTCTTCCCCTATATCCTAGTGGCCTAGAGAAACTGCTTTTGAGTCAATAAACAATTTCCTGTTTAAAAAAATTAACAATTTTCCTGATTTTTAGTTGACAAAAATCAGCAAAATTCAAATTTTTTTTCTCAAATTGTCGGAAGACTCTGCTCCCTTCTTGTAGATTTTGATTCGTCTTCCCCTATATCCTAGTGGCCTAGAGAAACTGCTTTTGAGTCAATAAACAATTTCCTGTTTAAAAAAATTCACAATTTTCCTGATTTTTAGTTGACAAAAATCAGCAAAATTCAAAATTTTTTTTCTCAAATTGTCGGAAGACTCTGCTCCCTTCTCGCAGCTTTTGATTCGTCTTCCCCTATATCCTAGTGGCCTAGAGAAACTGCTTTTGAGTCAATAAACAATTTCCTGTTTAAAAAAATTCACAATTTTCCTGATTTTTAGTTGACAAAAATCAGCAAAATTCAAAATTTTTTTTCTCAAATTGTCGTAAGACTCTGCTCCCTTCTCGCAGCTTTTGATTCGTCTTCCCCTATATTCTAGTGGCCTAGAGAAACTGCTTTTGAGTCAATAAACAATTTCCTGTTTAAAAAAATTAACAATTTTCCTGATTTTTAGTTGACAAAAATCAGCAAAATTCAAAATTTTTTTTCTCAAATTGTCGGAAGACTCTGCTCCCTTCTCGCAGCTTTTGATTCGTCTTCCCCTATATCCTAGTGGCCTAGAGAAACTGCTTTTGAGTCAATAAACAATTTCCTGTTTAAAAAAATTCACAATTTTCCTGATTTTTAGTTGACAAAATTCAGCAAAATTCAAATTTTTTTTCTCAAATTGTCGGAAGACTCTGCTCCCTTCTTGTAGATTTTGATTCGTCTTCCCCTATATCCTAGTAGCCTAAAGAAACTGTTTTTGAGTCAATAAAAAATTTTCTGTAAAAAAAAGTAACAATTCTCCTAATTTTTAGTTGACAAAATTCAGCAAAATTCAATTTTTTTTTTCTCAAATTGTCGGAAGACTTTGCTTCCCTCTCAGAACTGTTGATTGACCTTTTCCTAGTTTCTAGTTGTCTAGAAAAACGGGTTTTGATTCAGTAAAAAATTTCCTGCTTAAAAAAAACTATTACTTTGCTTGATATTTACTATTTACTAAAGCGAGTAGAAAGCGGGTACATAACGGGGTCGAATTCGACCCCCTTTTCACCCAAACAATCCGCAAGGGAGCTTTTAGTGTGAAGCCTGATATAATTTCTGCACGTAAATTCATATGGAATTTTACATTTAATGTCAATTAAAATTTTTCTTTAAATTATTAATTTACAGCAACAAGAAGTAAGGCAATAAACCTGAAAATTAAAACTCGACTAAGCTACGCAGCTAATCCTTCCTCCTCTGAAGAGAACTCTGCAAGAGCCAGTACGTCGAAAGCCGAGGAAGAAAGCGACGAGGAGTATTTAAGTATTCTGAATTTTTGTGTCTTTTTGAAATTGTAATGATTCTAATTTTAATTTATAGTAAAATTTTAGTTAAAATCATTTTAAAAAATTTTATTTTGGAGAATTCAGAAATAATCTCAGATATTCAATTATTTTCAAAAGTAATAAAATTCTTCTCACATAGTTCAATTACGTTCAAAATTTTAAAAAAATTATCGTCAAAATCTCAATTATTTTTATAAATAACAATTTTCTTCTTAATAATTCAATTAATTTTATATATAAAATTTTTTTATGGATTTAATTATATTTATTAATAATAAATTTCTTTTAGAAATTTAATTATTTTTATAAAAAATAAAGCTCATTGCAGAATTTTAATTATTTTTAGCACAATTTTTATCGAAATTCTTAAAATTAAAATATTTGAAAATTTGAATTTTCTATACACTTTTAATTGGCAATTCTGAAGAATTAATTTTTCTGAAATAGTTAAATTTATTTTTTTTATATAATTTGAAGTTTTTATTTTCTGAAATTTATTTATTTGGAGAGTTTTCGAATAATCCAAATTTCGTAAAATTCTATTTTAAACAAATATATTTCGAAATTCTCAAAGAACTTTTTCAAAAATTAATAAAAATAGTTGATTTAGAGAAAAATTTTATTTTAAAATTTTAGAAAATAATAATTGAATTAAAATGGTAAAAAGAATTTTTAATAAGTTACATTAATAATATTTTTAATACAATCGACTCTTGATACTTAGAAGTTGAAAAACCACACTCTTATGACTTCGAATTATCGAAAATTTGAAATTTTTGAAAATCTTAATTCCCGTGGAAAAATAATAATTAATTATTTATTTGAAAAAGAAGTTATTGATGTTTTCAAATAATTTTACAATTAAAAAAATTTGTTAATAAACACCTATAACAGAATATTTTTTGAGTTATATTCTTTTCTTCATTTTTTGAAAATGTAAAAAGCATAAAGCCTCCTCCCTTAAAAAAAATAAAAAAATTATTATTATTATTATTATTATTATTATTATTATTATTATTATTATTATTATTATTATTATTATTATTATTACAGTTTAATGAAAGAGAAAATAAAAAAAAGGAAAAAATAAAGTTGCTACATGAAAGATTTCCTCAACCCAAAGGAAAAAAACGAAAAATAAAAGAGGATACGGATTGGAAACCAGATGATAAAAAATTAGAAAATGAACCAGATTATTTAGGGAATACTGACGAAGACGTGACAACAGACGACGATGACGATAAAGACAAAGATGTTGAAATAGAAGATAATGGTGATAAAGAAGAAGAAGAAGAAGAAGATGACGATGAAGATGACGATAAAGTAACAACATTAGGGGACAACAATTTTTGTTACGATTTTGTTCCAGAAAATTTGAAATCCTTCTTAATAAATAATTGTTAAGTTCTAATTTTTGTAAATATGTTTATTATTAAAAAAATTTGAAATTAAAAATTGAATTTGATATTTTTTAAGTAAAAATCTTTTTTGAAAAATTTACATTTTAACTTTTGCGCTCCGGAAGTTGGATATTTTTTATCTGTAAAAAATTCGTTAGTAATTTTTAGCTTTTATTTCCAAATGGAATTCTATACAAATTTCCAAGCAGAAATTTTTAAAAAATTCGTTAATAATTCGACTGATTTTCGTTCGGAAATATGACCGAAAATTAAAAAAAAAATTTTTAGCTGAAATTTCCCACGAAATTGAATACCAATTTCTGAGTAGAAATTTTAAAAAATATTTCAAAAAAATTCGTTATTAATTCGCTTGATTTTCGTTCGGAAATTTTACTGAAACTTTTTGAAAAAATTTTTTACTGATATTTCGTGCGGAATTCCATACCAATTTCTGAGCAGAAATTTTTAAAAATATTTCAAAAAAATTCGTTATTAATTTGCTTGATTTTCGTTCTGAAATTTTACCGAAAATTTTTTACTGATATTTCGTGCGGAATTCCATACCAATTTCCGAGCAGAAATTTTTAAAAATATTTCAAAAAAATTCGTTATTAATTCGCTTGATTTTGGTTCTGAAATTTTACCGAAAATTTTTTACTGATATTTCGTGCGGAATTCCATACCAATTTCCGAGCAGAAATTTTTAAAAATATTTCACAAAAATTCGTTATTTATTATTCTTATCAATATTTAATATTTAATTGATAATAGTCAACTAATCGGTTATTTGTATAAATTAAATTTTTTTAGTGTTACCTCCGCGCACCCTGCTTCGCGGAGCAGTACATTACGGGGTTACATATCACTTATACTTATTTTATTAATTGAATATTTCAGCTTTAACTTTACAGTGGTGTTTTTATTTATTTTTTATTTCATAATTTAGATTTTATTGGCGAACATTCAGATGGTTTGTTGTATAATGAATACATTGACGTCTTAAATAATCAGTGCCGAACATTGAGACACCAAAAAAAAACAAAAATCAAAATTAGTTATCGACTACTTGCTTTCAATTATTCTCTAACCCAGTGTTATAGATTTAAAGAAGAAAAAGAAGAGTTAAAAATAAAATCTAAGTTTTTTCTAAGTAAATCTAGATCATTTTGGAAATCAAATAATACAGGAAAAAAGAAAATTGAGCACAAGAGCACTCTTTAAACTTGGTGTGGCAGAAGTTGACCACTTTTTTAAGGACCCGAAATTAAAAATTCTTTAAGTTTTATTCTGGAAAAACTGCAGTTTTTCAAATCACTCATTACCGATCACTTCGAGAATGCAGAGAAAATGTTTGACTTAATGCAGGACGGAACAGAATATCTTCATCATTACACGGCTTTAAATATTGACTATGCTGAGAAAACAATAAATTATTTATGCACCAACGATTTGCAAAATTGAATTTCAGCATTCGAATAAAACAAATATTTCAAAGTATGTGATTTTTAGATGTGGACTCGCAATTAACATTCGACCAGGAGTCTCCGATAGTCATCTCCTCAACACTCTGCAAAATAAAAAGAAATAAAAAGTCTTTTATAAAAAAATAAGAAGAAAAAAGAGAATTTTATTCTTAAAAAAGGAAAAAAAATTGTTTGTATTTAAATTAAAAAAATTTACTATTTTGTGCATTAAAACATAAGTTGAAAATGAAGCGGATATTTTATTCTTATCATTCTCGGCAATTGGTTCGATTATTTTTCTTGTGGTTTTTTCTACTCTTTTTCTGATCGTTAATTATCAATCATAAAGTCGATTGGATTTTCGAGACTTAAGCGAAAAATAAAAAAATTAATATATTGGCTGAATTTTCTAAATTTAAATACTGGGTACTAAAAATTCAAAAGTTTTTGCACTATTCCACGAAAATTTTCTAATTCTAACCTGTAAAATCGTTGAATTCTTGTAACTTAGGAATTTTTGTGTGCTAGCCAGTGAGACTTACGCGAAAATTTAAGAAATTTATTTTCTTTTCAGAATTTTGTCAATTTAAATACTGGGACTTCACGGTTGTGAAAACCCACGTCACTAAATATGATGGCGCTTTAAAACACCGTCTAATTATGTATTCACCTTTACCTCCATCTAAAATACACAAAGAGAGTCTTATTGGTAGAATAAAGCGGGTCTATTTAAAAAGTTTTATATATAAAGCATTTTAAATGGACAAGTTTCATTCTACCAATAAGAAGCATGTTTGTAGAGCAAGCGCAGTTGCATTTGGGGACGGTCATTGACATCTCTTTAAGAGACTGTGTTTTCATATAGATCTCTATTTCATGATTCTTTTGTTTGAACCATCTGGGAAAAACCTCTCAACCAACCATTTCAGTCATTGAATTGTCTTCTTCTCTGGTAAGTCACTCAATTATACAAAAATTGTTCAATTTATTTTTAAATTTATATTTAAGATGTATATAATAATGTAATATAATATTTGTCGTTGCTATACAATCTTTTTCCTGTAAAAACAGCAAATCACTACATAAAAGAAGAAAAATTTCATTCATTCGTTTGTCTAAAAGTTAATTTACTTTATTTAATCATACACTGAGTCCAAAAGTTCCCTGTCCAAAATTTTTTTTTTGTTTAGACCCTCCATAATTTTTTTAAATACTCATGAAATCTAAATGAATCGAAATATTAAAAGAAATAAAAAAAATGTCACTTTGTAAAAAGAGAATTTCATTTAAAATTAAGTGGAAATCGAATAATTGTTGTTAAAAGCAAAAAAATGTCACTTTTCAAAAAATTGTTTATTTAAAAAATTTTTTTTTATACGAAATTTTGTTTTAAATTGTTAGTAAATAATAAGAATTTGAAAAAAAAAATTGAAAATCACGTAAATCCAAAATTTTTCGAAATCGACTTTAGGCTTTTTACTATTCCGCTGCAAAATTTCGAATTTATAACCAAATCCAAGAAGTAGGGGACATTTTTGATTTCTTATGGAGCGTTCAGACCTCTGCAGCCTGTCTGTCTGCCTGCAGGTTGCCATGGTGACGTACAAGAGTAAGAGAGTAAGGAAATTCAAATTTATTACACCTTCTCCCTTACTCTTATTGCTTCTGGCTGCGCAGCCAGACAGCCTGCAGAGGTCTGAATGCTCCTTTAGTTATGGACTTACCCATGTGCCTTTTTTATGAATAATTAAATTATTTCACTAATTAAGTGCACAAAATAACATTTTTACTTTCGTCCCGGACCCAGTTAAGTAATTATAAATTTTTTAATTTTTGAAAATAGTACGTTTTTAATTTAAAGGTTAATGAATGTAATTTTTATAAAATTAAAGTTAGATTGTCATTGATAATAGTAAACCAACTTCAACTTAAAGAAGTTGCATTCATTAACCCTTAAAACATACCATTTCCAAAAAATTATAATTTCAACACTGGGACCGGGATCAAAGTGAAAGTTATTGTGTGCATTTAATTAGCGTTTTATACACATACAATAAAAAAATTTTTCATCACATTTTTGACGGCTAAAATCGAAATTTTTATTTCATAATAGAATATGGCCAACGTTGATGACAAAATCCTTGAAGAAGCGAGATGGATCAACGAATTGTTTCCAGAATACAGCATTGATATTATCTTAAGAAGGTTAAATACCTACCGAATGGCGTCGAATCGCGTCATTTTGGTATTATGGAAATTGATGCCCGTCATGTGTCCAAAACCGCAATATCAACTTGAGGGAAATAAGTCTGCGCCTAAAAGAAAATCATCGTCATCACGCGATCAGGTTAAGGTCGAAAGTTCGGCATCAAGCAGTAAAAAATCGAGAAGCTCGGATGAAAGTGGGGAAAATTCGTTGGCAACTTCTTCGAAACACACCACTATCATTTCCTCTGCAAATTTGGAGAGTAAGAAACCGCCGATTCAGTTTTACCAGATGCCGTCTTCATCTCGGTCACAGATGCAGGAGATTCAGATTGAATCGTCGAATGAAAAAAAAAAATCACGACCTGCTGAAAATGTTCCCGGGGCGAGCTCCTCCAAAACGGATGAGATTTTCTACAATGAAATTTATGATAAACTCAGGGACATTTTTCCCAATATTGATCCTGCTTTCATTGAAGAAAAATGCCAAAATCCTCCATTCTCCATCGAGGGACGTAATAAGGAAGAACTGATATGCATGTTTATCGAATTATTGTTGTGAAAAAAAATGTAATTCTTAAAAGTTTTAATAAATTTTCATTTTTCATTTTTATTCTCACTTCTAATTGTATAAAACTCCATTAACTAATATTTAAAGTTACATTCAAAAAAATTAATTAATTAATAGTCATATAAATGTTTTATTGCCTAATATTGTTCAATTCTTTACATAATATCATTACGCAAATTACAAAAATTTTTAATTTCAAATTATACTTTATAATAATTAAATTTTCAAAAATTTTAATATTATTCTTTGCAAGAATTCAATTATTTTTATAAATAGTAAAAATCTTCAAAAATTCAATTATTTTCAATACAATTGTAATACAATTTCACGAGAGAATGAATTATTTTTAATTTTTAAGAATATGTATTTTTCGAAAATTAATTCACAAAAAAATACATTTTGAAAAACACTGAAAGAAAATTTACAAAAACTTAAATATAATTAATTAAAAAAGTTTAATTTTCCAGCAAAAATTTTAATAAATGTTTACAATATAATTATTAATTATAATTGTTAAAAAAATCGACATAATAAAAAATTTTCTAGAAATTTTAATAAAATTCAATTATTAAATGTTTAATTTCAATTATTAAGAAACACGATTATTTTAGAAACTGGAAATAAATTTGTTGATGAAATTCAATTATTTTATAAATTATCAATTAAAATAATTAATTAAAGAAATTCCATTTAAAAAAATTAAAACAAATTCTTCAAAGAATTTAATTAGAATTATCAATCAGTTTAATAAAGTTCTTCGCAAGAATTAAACTATTTTTATAAATAAAATTCTTGGTAGGGAAATTTAAAAAAAATGGTCTGGAAAACCTGGAATAGTCGTGGAATTTTGAAATGCTAGCTGAATTCGTAGTATCTCTGATTATTCAATACGTTATTCAATCCTTTTTTAAAATAAACAAATCCTAATTTTTATATAATAATAATATTTTTTACTAATTATAACTACATTTTAAAGAACCTTCTTTTATTCCATTTTTTAATGAAAGTAAGAATTTAGGGATCATATAGGACAAATTGCAAAAAACTTTGCCGGCGACACCATTTTTGAGAAATTATTAAAGTTATTAGATATTATTATTAGTTCGAGCTCTTATTTAAGCTTAGACCTGTTTCGGCAAATTCTAAATTATATTATTGTCTTCATTCCTGGTAGCCGGAAAGAATGGTTAGTTTTTTAATTATTTAAATTACATATTTTCAAATATTAAAATTTTTAATCATTTAGTTATTTTAATTATTAATAAAATACGGACAGTGATGATGAATTGGAGGAATTCACCTTTCTTTTAGAGGAGTTAGAAAGTAAAATGAGTGGTTGCAGTGAAAAAAATAATTTCCTATACAAGAAATCAAAATCTATTCAATTTTGTGTCATATGGAGTTTTGTGAAACTTTTTTAATTTACAAAGTTATGAAATTATGAATTCTTCTATAGATTTTTTTTAATTTTAAAAATTTTTTTTAAAATTGAATTCTTTTGAAGAATTTAAATATTTATAAAAATAATACAATTCTTATGAAGAATGTAGGATTTAAATTTATAGAATATAATTAAATTCTTCAAAAGAATTTTAATAATTATAGATATTTGAATTTTCTTTAAAAATTTTTTGAAAGTTGTATTAAAAATAATTAAATTTCTCCTAAGAATTTTATTATTTATGAAAATAATCGAATTTTTATAAAAAATTTCTGTTTTTTTTAAATAATTGAATTTTTTTGAAAATTTTTATTACAATTGTATTTTAAAAAAATTTGAATTTTTGCAACGAATTTAATAAAAAAAAATTTGTTTAATAAATTCATTTGTGAGAAATTTAAATTGCATTAAAAATCATTGAATCCTTGATAAGAATTATGTTATTTATAATAATATTTTTATTTTTCAAAATTGCATTGAAATGATTGAAATTTGAGACAAGTTTGATATAATGGCTAATTTTATTTTTAAAAAATAAAATAGAAAAAAATAATTAGAATTAGAATTGTCACGGTGTTGCCGTCTAACCTTACCTAACATGATCTTTTTCTAAACTCTAAGCAATGAGCACTGTGGTTTATTCTGTTAAAATTTTATATTTTTTTAACAATAGAAAGCGAATCTGGTTTTGGAGTTTTCTTTAAACAATTGTTCGTCTCTAGTTACATTTGGATAAACCAATTGCAACCCATCGGAAATTGAGGCTATTGCCATGATAAAATTGTCTCGCATTTTTATTACTGGCAAATCTACAAGTTGAGAAAATTCCCAGAGGAGCTAAAAAAAGTATAAATAGTTAATTTTACATTATTCTCTGAATTAATAAAGAAAAAATAATTCAGAGATGACACAGGTCAGTGTCTTTTTTGTTTGTCTCATGAATTATGAAATTACCATGAATTCAAAAAAGAACCTTCATTTTTTCTATTTCTGACAATAATATATTTTAAGTAACTTAATTCTTGAAAAAATATTGTAAAATTATTCCTTATAAATTACTTAACGAAGTAATTTTTTTGAAAAATTTTAATTTCTAGATATTATGTTGAAATTAGTTGAATATTTTATTATATATTTAATATTATTTCAAAAATTTTAACGCAGTTATTCGAAAGAAATTAATTATCTTGATAAATATCAAAATTATTCCCAAAAATTAAATTATTTTCAGGAATTTTAATAATATTTATTGCAGAATTCAATTATTTTTAAAAATTTTAATTATTTTCCAAAATTTTTTATAATTTGTGCAATTATATTCAATATTTAGTATTTTAATAAAATTTCTCAAAAGAAATCAGTTATATAGTTAAAAAGAATTTTGGTAAAATTCTACAGAAACATTCAATTATTTTCAAAATAATAAAAATTTCACAGGAATTAAATTATTTAGAATAGAATTTGTAAACATTAAAAAAAATTAGAGCTGTGCAATTCGAATGCAGGGTGTCTACTATTTTCGTTCAACAAAATTCCTGGTTATTTCCCGACTTTGTCCTGATTTTTCTCGGTTTCTTTTCTCATCAAATTTAAATTTATTTGATTTCGAACATAAATAATTCTACAAATAGCTTCAAAAAATTATATTAGAGTTTTTATGAATAATTAAATTCTTTTGACGAGTTTCTTCAAATTTTTTTAAAAATTTTAATTAAAAATTTAGAAAAAAGTTGAGTTAAACAAATAATTTTTTCAATTTTTTTAAATAATCTTATCTGTTCATAATTTTAATTAAAAATTTGATTAATTCAATTTTATTAAAATGTATTAATATTAATTGAATTTCTGCAAAGAATTTTACTATTTAAAAAAATAATCGAATCCTTCCAAAGAATTTTATTATTTATGAAAATAATTAAATGTTTGCGTAGAATTTTATTAAACTTTTTGAAAATAATTGAATTGTGGAGAAGAATTTAGTTTATTTTGATAATAATTGAAATTTTGACTAAATTTAAAAAAAATATAAACATAATTCAACTTTTGCGAAGAATTTTATTTAGAGCTGTGCAAAATAATTCGAACCAAACTGTTTGAATTTTTTCGCTTAGTTCGAATGTCAAATATTTGACATTCGAACTAGCCCAGTTCGAATGTCGAATATTCAACATTCGACATTTCGGCGCCCCAATACCGAACAAAACTCGGTTCGGTTCGAATTTTGCACAGCTCTAATTTTATTACTTTTAAAAATAATATTCAAAAGAATTTAGTAAATCTCAAGAATATTGCTATTTATGTAAATAATTGAATTCTTGAGAAGAATTTTTTTACAGTTTTTAGAAATAATTGAATTTTTTCGACGAATATTCATAAAAATTTTAAGAATAATTACATTTTTCGAGGAATTCGATTAAAATTGTATTAAAAATAATTGAAATTCTGCAATAAGTTCCCTTGATTATTTTCGAAAAATTTAAATAAAATTCTTTAAAAGAATTTGAATATTTTTTTAGAATGTAAAGAAATTTCAGTTATTTCAAAAATTTTCAATTATTTGTTTACAAAAATTCAGTTATCTTGAAACAATAGAATTAAAAAATTTTAAAAATCTTATTTTTCAGAATTTTTAAATAAATTTTGGGAAAATTCAATTTTATTAAAAAATTTTAGTGTGTATCTTTTTTAAATTAACTAATAAAATTTTTAATTATTAATCTTCGCACTAAGAAACATGAATAAAACTTTTTTTAATAGAACATAACTTAATTCAATTCGAATTCTGAACAGCTATAAAGAAATCAATGTTTAACATTCTTTTATAAAATTTTTCGCAATAATATAATTATTCTCATAAATAATAATTTAATTGTTCTTAGAAATTAAATTATTTTCATAAATAAAACTCATTATAGAATTTCAATTATTTAATATAATTTTAATTGAATTCTCCAAAAGAATTTAATTATTCTTAAAAAATTCTATTAAAATTCGTCGAAAGAATTTAATTATTTGAAAATTTCTTGATAAAATTATTTATAGGAAATCAATTTAAAGAAACATTCAATTATTACATACATTTTTTATTTTCGAATTTAAACAATGGAATTTTTGTAGAATTTTCTATTAAAAATGTATTTAAAATTTAATTTCGCAGTGAAAGTTTTAGATACTAGTTGAATTTTTGAGAAGTTACAATTAATTGCAATTTTTAGAAATACTTAAAATTTGAAAAGGTTAAAATTAAATTCTTCAAAAATATGAATTTTGCATACTTTTAATTAAAAATTCTGTTCAACTAACTTTTTGAAAGTTTAATTAGTCATTTTTGAAATTATTTCAAGTTTTTATTTTTTCATATGTATTTAATTGAAGCATTTTGGAATAATCGAAATTCTATAAAATTGAATTGTAAATAAATAGATTTTAAAATTCTCAAATAACTTTGTCGGAAATTATTAAGAATAATTGATTTGAAAAAGAAGTTTAGTTACTAACTTTTAAAAATAAGAATTTAATTGAAATGATGAAAATAATTTTGAAGAATTTGGAGTATGTAACAACATTCTTATGAGTTATTAAATTACAGAAGGTTTGGATTTGCAATTTTTAAAAATTCTTTTGGGAAAATAATAATGATTAAATATTTATTTTAAATGAAACTACTGATTGATTGAACATTTTTTTGAGTACATAATAATTTTTAGAATGAATCAAAATATTTTCTAGAATCAGAGAGAAGCAAAATTAAATTTTTGTGGCAACCCTGTTATTATTTTTTTTGTTTAAAAGAAGTGAATCTAATGAATTTAGTTTGTCATGTTCGAAAATACTTTACTAATTCTTGTATTCGCAGAGCTGGATACGTAGTAAATATGTAAGACGCTGATTTCTTTCGAGGCCTCTTTTATTTCGTGTCTTCTCCAACAATTGTTTTAATTTGTTTACATTAATTGATTTTGCTCCAACACTATTCACTTCCTTCTCCATCTCAGTACACAAGATTTGTATGCTAATGTCTTCTGTATCTTTTTTTCTTGCATACCGAGCATGGTTTTTAATGCATTCGTTCATTTTCGTGAGTACTTCTTCCTAGAAACATGAATTACTGCGTTATTCCGTAATATTAATAATTGTATTCATATATTTATAGTTTTTATGTTTATGCCTACATGTTTCAATCCAAACTTTCCCTTCAATGTAGGAATCTTCTGACACAACAATTTAGCCACATCCTCGACTATATCTTTATCGGTGCTCAACTTCTTGTGAATTATTGCTTTTGTAGTTTCTCTAATTATGCTGGCTTTTTGGGTACTTAGCAATACTACTCCACTTTTTATAACGTTGTCTATATTGTGAGGAAAGCTCTTCGGAATTATACTTTCCACGTAATTCTTTATTTGGAAAATAATCAAAAATTAAATCAATCAAATTAAACGATTCAATTACTTTCAAAACATATTCGAAATTCAATTATTTTCAATATCTAGTATTTTCATAAAATTTCTCAAAAGAATTCAATTATTTAAAAAAAAATTTTTTAAATTCTACGCAAACATTTAATTATTTTCATAAATAATAAAAATTTTACAGGCATTCAATTAATTTAGAATAGCATTTTCAGAGCTAGAACCAGTGAAAGTATTTAAAAATACGGACTAAAAATGAAAAATTTTACGGACCAATTACTGACAAAAATATAACCAGTCCGAGAATTATTTTCATAAATAAAAAAATGCATAGCACGATTTTTATTATTTTCAATACAATTTTACAGGAATTGCTCAAAAAATGTGATTATTCTTAAAAATTTTAATTTAAATTCTTCGAAAAAATCAATTATTAAAAAAAATGTTTTTATTAATTCTCTGTAAGAATTCAATTATTTACGAAAATATTAGAATTTTTCACAAGAGTTCAATTATTTAAAAAACTTTTAATAGAATCCTATTCAAGAATTCAATTATTTTTAAAAATAATGAAATTATCGCTGGAATTTAATTATTTTTGAACATTTGTTTTAAATTCTTCGGAATAATTCAATAATATCAATAAATGCATAGAAAAATTTCCATAGGAATTTAATTATTTTAAGTACAATTTTAATAAAATTCTTCTCAAAAATTTACTTATTTTTTTAAATTTTGCAAAAATTAAATTTTTTAAGAAATAATACATTTTTTCGCAAGGATTCAATTATTTAAAAAAGTTTTAATAAAATTCTATTCAAGAATCCAATTATTTTCTAAAATAACTAAATTGTCGATTTATTACTGAAAATCATTGAATTCTTGTAAAGTATTTATAAAAAAATTTGAAAATACTTGAATTCATTTCAACAATTTTTATCAACAATTTTTCATAAGAATTTTATTATATATATTAAAAAAATTAAATTCTTGCCAAGAATTTTACAATTTATAAAAATAATTGAATTGTTTCGAAGAATTTTGTACCAGAATTGTTGAAAATAATTGAATTTTTATTAAAACTCTTGAAAATACTTAATTGAATTTAAATAATATTTTTAAAAATAGTAGTATTATTTTGGGAAATTTTATGAAAATTGGATTGAAAATAATTGAATCCCACCGAAACATTTTATTATTTATGAAACTATTTTAATTCTTGCGAAGAATTTTCTTATTATTGAAAATAATTAAATTTTTGAGAAGGATTTTAGAATTCATAAAAATAATTGAATTGTTTCGAAAAAGTTTATCAGAATTTTTGAAAATAATTAAATTTTTTAAAGGTATTTCATTAAAAATTTTGAAAATAATTAAATTTATTTTGAAATTTTTAAAAATAATCGAATTTAATTAATATTATGAAAAATAATTGTATTCTTTCGAGAATTTTTATTTAAATTGTTTTTAAAATAATTGAATTCCTCTAAAGAATTTTATTATTCATGAGAATAATGAAATTCCTACGACAAATTTTTTTTAAAAATTTTAAGTAATAATAAACAAGAATATATAATAGATACTATGTACTTAATAAGTGAATTTTTAAAATTTTGAATCTGTAATCATTTAAAAATTTATGTTTATAATTAAAAATATAAAAATTTTTAATTTACAAAATAATAAAAAATGGAATATTGCGTTCCGCGCGCATATCATTTGCTAGTATAATATAATTTACCTCATTATTTTTGAAAGTTATTGTAAGCTGAAGAGATGAAGGGTTTTTTCTTTTTGATTTTTCACCACTGCCGGAAATCGATGTAGAAGGTTGTCGTGATAATTGTTTATCGTTTGGAAACGGCTTGTTTCTAATCTCATCCGTACTCTTCGTATTTGATGAAGCGTTTTGAGAAGCTTGAATTCCATTTTTCTCATTGAAAGATACAATTGCAGGTGATGAGTAAGGCCGAAAATTTTGACCATCATCAATCCAAATGTCCGAATCTAAAGCATCTTTAATTTCTTGAGATGAAACATTACTTTGTTGTTCAGCGTTTATGGTATCAAAATCTTGTGATTCATTCCTTCCTTTTATTATTCTGTGCTTTGTTGGAAAACATCCGCAATAAGAACACTGTGAAGAATTGGATCCTATAATCCACTCGAATTCGTCACAATTTCCACAATCGCATTTCCCTCTCCTAACTCCTCTTGAGTCCTCCATTTTTCTACTGTTCAAAAAATTCAATTATGAGAAAATTATTTTTTGTTTGTTTAAAAATTATTTTTTGTTTGTTTGAAAATATTTTTTGTTTAAAAATAATTATAGTTTTTAGCAAGGACCGTTACGAAAGTATAGTTTCGTTTTAATTTCTGAGTTGACTCGAAATTAAATTAACAAACTGAATTTAGTTTTGTGTCGACTCGAAACTAAATTAATAAATAGATATAATGTAGTGTGAGGAGACTTCAATATAATTATAAAATGAAAAAGGTGAACGTGATTTCTATATATATATATTAGTAAACTAATTGCAATGAAACTTAGGAATTTAAATCTATACATAAAAAGAAATATTTCCACCAAATGTTACGTAAAAATATTCAGTAGTTTTTGAGATGTCAAAAAAAAGATATATCGATTTCAAAATTTTTCAAAAATTTTGACATCTCAAAAGCTACTGAATATTTTGACGTAATATTTGGTGGAAATATTTCTTTTTATGTAAAGATTTAAATTCCTAATTTTCATTGTAATTGGTTTACTTATAAATTTTAATAATCATAAAATAGTAGAAAAAAGAATACTTTCATTAATAATAGAGACAATTCAGTGTTTCAAACAAACGAGTTTATTCACTTGCTTCTTCTTCTTCTGTTTAGAAATTTCTTCTTCTTTCAGGGTTGGGTTGGGTTATGTGCTTACGGCTAAAGGCGATTCTTCAATTCCAATTTTCATGTCAGCATTTTGAGTGCAGTTCCATGGTGGTAGATTAGTAGAACAGTGGAACAGTTTTGACCAATCAGATGACTGGATTTTTTACCACTTATTTTGATTGGTCAAATCTATTCTCTGTCCTTTTCTAACTCATTCTTTGCGTTCGCAAAACAGTTGTGCTTAGGCCTTATGACTTGAAGGCAACTGTTGCCAACTTTGAAATGTAAATTTATTATAGTTACATGTAGCATTAATTGAATTTTAATAATAGGTATGTTTTCGTTGCCTGCACTAAGTGTAACTTTTACACCACCTCAAGAGTAGGTGCAGAAAGTGTAGCGAAATGTATGGTAAAATTACGTCACATCCGGCAAAGAGAACAGCATAGTGCAGGTTAGGTGTTAAAGTGTAAGAAGTGCAGGCAACGAAAACATACCTAATGAATTAGTTATAAAATTATTTAATTATTAATAATTAATTTTGCTGTTTTTTTTAAATATTATTAATTAATCAATTGAAATCAATCATAATAAATTTAATGTCACAGTTGGCAGCAGTATGTACCGTTCAAGTAAAAGTCGACCGTTCGTCGACAAAAAAAGAAGCATTTAGGCCGCAGTCCCATGGCAGCGTTTTGCTTTGCTTTGTAATGAGAGAGAATGCAGCAAACGTATATTGCGTCTTTTTCTCTCCCATTACGACGCAACGCAAAACGCTGTCATGGGACTCCACCCTTAGGCCGCAGTCCCATGGCAGCGTTTTGCGTTGCGTTGTAATGAGAGAGAATGCAGCAAACGTATATTTGCGTCTTTTTCTCTCCCATTACGACGCAACGCAAAACGCTGTCATGGGACTCCACCCTCACACCTTCTGTAAAAATGGTCCAGAATGGAAAATATATATTGGAGTAAGAGAGACAGACTGTATATCTCTCTCTCTTACTTCAATGAAAAATTTTTCGTTTGATATGAAAATTATTATTGGAAAATCGTCTTTAAGCTGTACGTTCACACACAATGCAATGGTATAGTCACCTTAAAGGCTGGTTCCAGAATAGCTAAAAATCGTCTCGTCTTTCAAAACGATGCGATGCGCGTATATACATTTTTATTTACTGCGCATCAAATCATCTTAGAAATTGAGACGATTTATCTTATTGTGAACTCAACCTAACGGTTTACCGAAAAATGTCGAAATCGCGTTGATATATTTTTCGTATAAATGCACCTTTAAAGCTTTAAAGCTTAGAGGTGAAAATGTACCTTTAGGCCTTTTCATGTTCCCGAACGACTTTCAGGAAACTATTGTGTGTTAGCCTTAAGTAATCAGTATTTCTCTCTATGAATTCTTCTTCCATGCCCTGGGACCAGAATTCATAACAAAAACACAGAAATAGAACTTTCTTTCTCAAAAGAAAAACAAAAGAAAAAACTTTTTTTCAGTGACTCGTTATTCGATAAGTAGTACTGAAAAATAATTTATAACCTGCGTAAGAAGTTTAATTTTGTTTGTTTGTTAAAAGGTTTTAATATTTTTAAAAATTCAATGTTATAAATTACTTTATGATTACACAGGCACACAAAAAAATAAAAAAGTCAAAACCCAGAGATCACACCCCCCTATCCCCATGTTTTTGGGGTCGCTGAAACCGAATATGACCATGAAAAATTTTTTTCATCGGCCATTTTTCCGCTACCACCCCCTTACACCTACTCCCGGGGGTTGGAATTTCAGTTTAAAAAAAGTGGAGTAGGGTGTCTATTCCTATGTTTTTTGGGTCGCTGAAACCAAAAAAGACTACCAAAAACAAATTCTTCCCTCCCTTAACCCCCTGCAACCCCCTTAACAACCCCAGGGTGAGGGGTCGAAATTCGAATTTTCACGAAAAGTCGATTACGGTGTCTAAACCTACGTTTTTTGGGTCGCTGAAACCAAAAAAGACTACCAAAATCAAATCCTTTCCACCCTCAACCCCCTGCAATAATTTTTGACAATTAATATTTAATTTTCAATTTCCCAAAAATCAGTTCGTTTTATTTGAAAAAAATTATTGCAGGGGGTTGTAGGGGGTCGGGGGTGGAAAAGATTTGATTTTGGTAGTCTTTTTTGGTTTCAGCGACCCAAAAAACGTAGGTTTAGACACCGCCCTACTAAAAATCCCTGTATGAGATCTTGTACAAGAAAATGCACATGTTCAGCAGCTGAACTTGTACAAGTTCTGGTTAGAAAATGTACAATTTCTTGTATTAGAACTTGTACAAGAAAATGTACGAGTACTTGTACAAGAAAATAAACTTGTACAAGAAAATGTACAAGATCTTGTACAAGTTCTAATACAAGAACTTGTACGAGTTCATGTGCAAGTACTTGTACATTTTCTTTAAACATTATTTTTAAGTTGTAAAAATTAAAAACATTAAAGGCTGCGCAGTAGTTTTTATAAGCTTTTAGAGCTGCGCAATAGTTTTTAGCTTGCCTAAAGTGGAGAGTCTTAATGCTTATAAGTTATTAAAATGCCAATTTAAAAAAAAAATTTATTTATTAATTTACTTGATCCAATTTTCTAAAAAAAAATTATTTATAAATATACTTGTGCAAGAACATGAACGTGTTCATGTACAAGTACTTGTGCTTGAACTTGTACAAGATCTTGTACATTTTCTTGTACAAGTTTATTTTCTTGTACAAGTGCTAATACAAGAACTTGTTCCAAATCCTGGTACAAGAAATTGTACATGTTCTTACCAGAACTTGTACAAGTTCAGCTGCTGAACATGTGCATTTTCTAGTACAAGATCTTATACAGGGATTTTTAGTAGGGCGTAATCGACTTTTCGTGAAAATTCGAATTTCGACCCCTCACCTCGGGGTTGTTAAGGGGGTTGTAGAGGGTTAAGGGAGGGAAGAATTTGTTTTTGGTAGTCTTTTTTGGTTTTAGCGACCCAAAAAACATAGGAATAAACACCCTACCCCAACTTTTCCAGGCATCAGTTGTGCAAGAGGTCCTGGAACATGCTGAACAAACTGGACCAAAAAAATTAATTGATGTTGACAGTAAGCCATTTAGAACATTTTTTCGCAGCAACACACGTGTTTATTCGACAACATGGATTAAATTCAATGGTATAAAATTGAGAGAGTCCAGAATAGAGTCGACGTCGGTATGAACGCGCTGATAGTAACGCGCTCGTCCATATGGAATACATAGGAGGAGCGCGTTAGTATCAGCGCGTCGACTCTATTCTGGACTCTCCTTGGTTATCAGTATCAATCAATTAAATTGCATGTTTTAAGTTTTTGAACGTAAGTTACCTATCAGCTGCTAATTAAATACTGTTTAATAACAATCATTAATTACTGAGGAATATAATAACTAAGAAGTATTTTTGAAATATTTACAACAATTTATTAAAAAATTACTGCTCCGAAAACTTTTATTACTATATTAGAACAATACTACAAGTCGTGTTAAAGTAACACCAGAGTCGTGTTAAAGTAACCCCAGAGTTACTTTATAGCGAGATAAACAAACGGTTATAGCGGGCAACTCGGTTATAACGAGCAAAATTTGTGAACCTTGTGGCGAATCATTATTTAATAAAAATAACTTTATTGAAGAAAGTCAGAAACAATAATAAAAGTAAAATATCTTCCCTTCTTTTCTCTTTACATTAGTATTCGTTAAAAATTATTAATTTAGAAGCAAAAAGTCAGTCACTAATTCAACTTTTAAAAAAATTAGATATTTCCATTAACTTCTAAAATTTTTTCCATTGATCGTATTGTCCACACTGATCCAACAGAAGCTCCAAAGATGCTTTTCTGTTTCTTTTAATTTTAATACTCTGTGTTTCCATGACATCTATTGTAAAATATTCTGCATTAATAATTATAAAAATTGGAAAATTAAAGAAATATATAAATAAATATCATAAATGAATATTTAAAGGATATTCTACAGATATCACGATTATAATCTAGGAAAGTACTAGTAGTATTTTTAATTATTATGATTAAATTAAATAACTTTCACCAATTGTATTATGTTGAATATGTTGAATTCCAACATTTTCTATTGGATCTTCATTTGATTCTTGCAAAGAAGAGGGCTCTTGATAAGTATTTTCCACTAATAAGGAAATAAACATCAAAGGTAAGTAATCAAGCAAATAAGTAAAAAGGAAATAAGTAGAAAATGAAGGCAGCAAAAATGAAAATAAACAATTAAGGAAGTAAGCAAGAAGGAAATCGGCAATTAAGTAAGCCAATAATAAAATAAGCAAGTAATCTAAAAGAAAATAAGCAAATAATCTATTCTGGAATTATATTAACACCTTACTACTTTGCAAATTCAGGATTAAGAGAGGGAAGAAAAGAAAGAGGCTAAAAGTATCCAAAAATTAGGCATTAAACAACAAAAGTTATTTATCTTCTTAGTTGAAATTAAATATTTAAAGTTTCTTTATTTAAAAAAAAAGAAACCTTCAGAAATCAGCTTCAAATCATGAATTTTGTTATTAAATACATTTTGTAATTTAGAAATTTTAGTGACTGTG